GCACAGCATCAACGTTTTCTTAGGTGACTGCAGTTTTTGGACGACCTTGACGGGGATCATCACTGAGCTTGACACGTCCACGTTGAAATTCAGGAAACCAGCGATAAATTGTGGTTTTGGATGGGGCTTCATTACCAAATGCAGAAATCATCCGGTCAACACACTGTTTTTGTGTTAAACCACTTCAAAAGTCATAATAAATCATCGCTCTTGAATTTTCTCGAGTCAATTCCATTTTCTCAACGACTAAACAAGTTTGACAAGACCTTGTGATACGACCGAGAATCTTTTTTTAAATAAATAAATGGTATACGATTTTTAAAACCCTGGAGTTTGCAATTAAATAGATTTTAATATGACTGGAACAGTGGAAATATTCCATTCCCGATACTTTTAGTGCAGCCCTCGTAGAGCATATACAGGCTTCAGCTAGCTGCGAGTGACGATGTAATCTTATCGTTGATTTTAAACGATAATAATTACGTTATTTAAAATAGTTGGCTTATCGTCTAAAATCGATAAAATGATATCGCACGTCCTAGGTTCTTAGCTGGACGACATTTATGTACAAATTGTTGTATTTCATAAGTTATGGGTAATTGTTACGTCTAATGTGATGTTGTGTATACTTGCTAGAACAACTAATTAAATATCCCTATATTTAGAGATGTTATTTCAGCTATTGGAACGGTGTCAAGGAGACAAATAACATAAGAACACACTATTTGCTGAAAATGTTTGTTTAACACAAGGCCCTCTTTATTGTGCTGAATAAATATTGATTTTGTTTTGTTGGCAGGTGTTTTGTTTAACACACTGCACCGTTTGTTATGCTGAATAAAAATCATCGTCGTCGTCGTTTCAGCCGACAAAGGCCACCCCCAAGGATTTCCACGAAGACCGGTCCTGCGCCGCTCGCATCCAGGCACCACCAGATCGTCGGTCCGCTGTAAATACCGCTGAATAAATATTGAATTGTATATTATGTCGTTGTCAGGTGTTCCGCGAGGGCCGCACGAAGGCGGTGGGCAACGTGCTGCGGCCTGAGCCGCACGCCAGCAAGCCGCCGCCGCGCCGCGCCAACCACGCGCCCGCGCCGGCGCTCGACACGGTAACTATGGCAGGATTCACTAGGGATGGGCAAATGGAAAAAAAATATCGATATTTATCGTATCGATATTTTTCAAATATATCGATATATATCACCCAAGAAATATCGATATTTCGATATTTTTTGCGCAATTTGCAATTATTTATAAAAAATGACAAAATATTCGAAATTTTGAAGCAAACACACATCTGGCTGTTTTAACATTAGTTTAATTATTAAAAAAAAACAGCCTACTACATACCTACTCTTTTTCTAAATCGAAATCGGATTGGTCGAATACATGTTGTGACGCATGAGCAGACAGCAGAGCTTTAAAAATATATCGATTTTGATATCTGAAAATAAATATCGAAAATCGATATATCACGGGAAAAAATATCGCTGATTTATATCGATATTTTTTCAGAAAAATATTTTGATATATCGATATTTTTTACCCAAGCCTAGGATTCACATTCACCGGCGCGACGTCCGTTCGGCCAAAAATGCGGTGGAATGAGCGCGTCTGCGCGAGTATCCGCTGGAACACGCTCAAAGCCGACCGGTTTCCGACGCATGCTCGCTCATCCCTCCGGATTGAAATGTCAGTTAATCAGTTGTAAGCAATTATGACTCTAAGAACTTAATAAAATACTATTTTCTTTACGGCCGTGTAAGTGCGCTCCGACGCGCGCCGGTTAATAGTTGTCGTCCTTATGACTTTGAAAAGCATTCAAACATTTGTTCCCGGAGAAAGGACTAATAGTTCGTGACACCCAAAGTGGCCAAAAAGTTGATAACACAACCTTATTCCACTTTTTGGCTACTTCAGGTGTTTTAACAATTTGACGCTGGACGCTGACTGTACAGTAATGATGTTACAATAGAAAGATGAGCAGCTTAATTCACTAGCATGTGAATTTTTGCATCTTAAGTATATTATGCACCAAATAACCGTTGTTTATACGCTTAATAATTCGACCAAATGATATCTAGGAGAACTAAGGTCAGTCAAGTTGATTACATTGAATTACTATCGTAGTAATGCAGCTTTAAATATTTTACTTTGTCACACCTCGTAAGACTGTCGGTCCCTTTAAAAGAACCAAATTCTCAGTCGTTCCGTCCTGACCATTTGAAAATCAATCTAGTAGGTATGACCGAAGTTCCTTTCTAGTTACCCAAAACGTCATCATCGAATTTTGTTGAAATTTGCTGCTGCTGTTCTTTAGTTTACGATCTCAGCAAGAACATCTAAAACTCATACCCTTATCAACCCTGCAGCAAGAGAGCGACGTGACGGCGGCGGACTCGCCGTTCGAGGTGGCCAACGACAAGCGCTCGCGGCGCCCGCGCAAGCGCCACGACAAGCCGCCCGACCAGCCTGCAGCGCCACGCGTCTGAAGCCCGCTCGCCGAACACGACGCCTCACCAGTGCAGGGGACTTCTCACTTTACACCACCATATCAACCCTAAACATTACAGCAAATTATATGATTCAATAAAGTTTGACTTGCCGCCTGCATTCCGCCTAAGGACTTTCCAACAAACTTTTCGTGTTTACTTTCTATGGGTGAGCCATAAAAGCGTCTTTTGCCTATAGTGTTGTGTCGTGAGGCGTCGTCGCTAACAGTGTCACTGACTCGTATCAAGTTTCTCGATGTCTCCTTCGGAAGTACATGCAACTAGATATAGGTACAAATCTTACCTAGATCAACTAGAAGGTCCATAGCGTGGCTAGATTCTCGAAATCGAGGTTCCGACTGGAAATATCTGGGGTATAGCACACTCTGGTACAGGTTTTTACAGTCATTATGTAATCCATTACATGCATAAATTGAAGAGAACTCCATATTTTAATAGGAATATTAATGTCTAAAATTTTATACTTTCATGCACTTTACTAAAAATGTCTCCATCTGTAATAAATAAGCCTATCTTTAAGAAGTAATAGTTCCAGTATTTCCAGTATTTCCTTTATATAATGTACCTTTTAATTCAATTATGAATAACACAATATAGAAGATTCATACATACTATTCAAGATTTGCTCATTCTAAATAAAAATGGTTTACTTTTGATTTTTGTATGCTTATGTAGTAAAATGGTTGCAAAGTTCTAGTTGTGGTGATAAAGGCAATAAATATTTTTATACATGAACCAAAAATAGAAGAAAATTAAGACAAAAAATAATATTGATGTGCAAAAATAACAAAAACAGAACTTTTTATTCATAGTTGGTTGGCTTGTGATGGATATTTTGTTTAGAAATACAACCTTATTTTTGGAAAGTAATGGTTTTATTTATGTTATTATTCATATTTTTTGTTTTTCAAAATTATTATAATTAATATTAATACATGGATATTTTTTGTTTTTCAAAATTTGATTTTGATTGAAGATGACCTAACTGAAAATAGTCTCATTTTATAAAAAGCTAATGTATGACTACTACAAGCACATTGTTAGTGAGGCTAGCTGCTATTCATATCATACAGTATTTGATTATTTACAATACAATTAGAATGTGATTTTTTCTAGTTTAAGTAAGAGGATATTTTTATTGATTTGTTCAAGAGTGACAAAAAATTAAACTAGCTCGAATTATTGCTGACTTCTTATTTATTATCCCATATGACCAATATTTCAATTTGTAACTAGCTAAACTAAATGACTAAAATGTTGTCTCATTTTTTTATTTGCTTCTTTGCATCGGCAATCCCTTCTTTTATGTTTTCACTGAATTTTCTCAAGAATGACAAGAATCTGTTGACTTCCTGTGGGTCCATTTCGGATAGTTTCTCCTTGCCTCTATAAAATATAGAGACTGCTAGTTGGGCTGCTCTTCTTACGGGGTAGGACTCGGCGATCCGCTGGACCAGATGCTCATTGTTTGCTAGATATTTGAGCAAAGCACGGAGCGGCATGTTGACTGGTATCACTTGAATGACGTTTCAAATGAGCACATATTACGGTACTTCTGCAACAATTCACGCTTCAGCCTCAGCTGGGTCCGGAGGATTTCAAACTGTTTTAATTGATCCTGTTTATTGTATTCTATACCAGGTAATCGCTTGATCTGAAAGACAAATTTAACCAATATCACTTTCTGCTATACTGCTGTATTGTTCCAGCCACAAAATGTAAAGCAATAAATTTTAATGTAACATGGGGAGATACGTAGTATGTAATGCGTTACCTGTGAGCGTGCTACGTCAAACTTCTTCTGCAGTTCTAGGACCTTTTGACTGCAATCCTGCGACTCGCGATTCTTGGCAGAGTTGTCGTGAAAGTCTCGTTCTACACTGAAAATATAAATTTGTTAGTAACTCTCTAATACATACAAACAAGGTGACTGTCTATAAATAGATGAATGCAATACCTTCGAATAATTTCATAAACAATTGGCAAAAAATCTACGTCTACTTCTTGCACAGTCAGAGGACTAAAATTGTTTTGATCTGAATGGTCTGTGTTATTTTCCATCTTATGAGTCGAATTATACACAAAATATAACACAAATCACTTGCCTAAATATGAAATCGTCTATGAAAAATGAAAGAAAGAAACGGTGAAGAGAAAAAGAAACGAGTCCAAAATATTTGACACTGACAGCAAATCACAGCAGCAAATTATGATGACACTGACTTATCACAATGTCCAAATATTTTATAATTTCATCAAAGATTTATGAGTAACTATGTAAGACGAGTCTTCTTCCCCCAGCGCGTGTTTTGCTCTACACATGCATGGCTCTACACACGCATGACACGCACTGCTGTAGTCTCAAAACTTGTATAGGTCGCCCAACGAAAGTTGAGGTGAAGCAATGGTGAGGGTGAAGCGAACATCTTTATTAAAGGAGGATTAAATTGGCTAGCAGATGTAATGTAAACTCGTGTTTAAAACACGGAATAATATAATATAATAAATTGGCTAGCAGTGCAAGTTGTCACAGTGCGACATGACAAGCAAATGTAATATTGATTGCCTCAACTCTTGCTGCACGACCTATAAAAGTTATATCTCCAATGCAATGGAATCGTAGACAGAGAATACTAATGGAATGAAGTTACGATTTTCCTTTGAGCTATACTTTAAAAAAAATGAGGACTACAGATTATGTGCGAAAACGTCAAACTTGACATTGACAGCTTGAAATTATAAAAATGTTGTTGATCGACTAAATGTGTTTTTACAGCATTTTAATTAGATAAATCTATAAAAATGGATGAAGTTGCAAAATTAGAACATCTTTCTTTGGTATCTAAAATATGCACGGAGTTAGATAACCATTTAGGGCTAAATGACAAAGATTTAGGTAAGAATTTTTACATGTGAAATCGTACACTATTATTGCTCAAAAATCCCCTAAAACGTTTTTATCCTATGATTTGCATAAAAACGTTTTAGGGGATATCAATAAATAATAAATATTTAATATTGCTAGCTTAAATAGACCAATTATCCTATTCAAAATATCTCAATTTCTTCCTTATTTTATAAATTTATTTTAATACCATTTTATTTTTTTCAGCTGAATTCATCATTGATTTAGCAGACAAAAATCCTACATTTGATGGATTCAAGAAAGTTCTTATTGAAAATGGAGCAGAGTTTTCAGATTCTTTCATGACAAACTTGCTTCGAATTATACAGCACATGAAACCTGCCAAGACTGATGCACAAAAAACGGAAACAGAATCAAGCAAACACAATCCTTTAGCTACGAAATTTCCTGGTCTCGCGATTCCTAATGAAAAACCTCCTGTTTTCTCTTCTGATGATGAAGAAAGTGAGGATGAGAAGAAAAATAAGAGGATAACATCTAAAGACATATTCAAGGATGAAACTAAACCTAAAAGTGATAACGTAATTGACCAGGCGATGGCTGAACTAGAAGCTTTGGCTCCTTCTTACTCTGGACCAAAAGTAGAATCAAAATCAGAAGACAAAAAGAAATCGGAGTCGAGTGATACAAAAGAGACAAAGGATAGTAGAGTAAAAAAGAGAGAAAAATCAAGAGATAGAAGTAGACGCAGTAGAAGTAAAGACAAGAGAAGTCGTAGTAGAGACCGCCGGACTAGAAGCAGAGATAGAGACAGGAAGCGGAGGTCGCGGAGCAGACAACGTCACAGATCTCGATCTAGAGATAGGCACAGGTCCAGGTCGAGAAACAGGCACAGGTCAAGATCTAAGGACAGGCAGAGGTCGAGGTCCAAGGACAGGCATAGGAGGTCCAGGTCAAGGGACAGGCACAGGAGGTCTAGGTCCAGAGGGAAGAGGTCTCATTCAAGGGATAGAGAAGACAGGGGTAGATATGGGGATCAAGGGAAGAAACCTAGAAAGAGGAGTCCTGAGGTTGAAATAAGTGATGATCCAGAACCTGGCAAGGTAATTTTTAAATTAATAAATCCAGTATATGTAAAGTATATGTCATGCATATAAGTAGTTTTATTAGGCAGTGGTTGACAATGATATTATCAAATGGTCATTAAAATAACATTAGAAGATAGTTTAATTTGACTTCAATAGCATATAAAATGCTATCTATACATTGTAGTGTAGGAGAAGAAACTTCACACTTAATGAGTACTTGATAATTTTTAATTAGTGTAGTAAATAAGTTTGTCTTGACACAAAATGTTTATCTTCCAGATCTACAATGGGCGGGTGGCGAACATAGTTCCGTTTGGCTGTTTTGTCCAAATAGAGGGGGTGAGGAAGAGGTGGGAGGGGCTGGTGCACATATCACAGCTGCGCTCCGAGGGCCGGGTCACTAATGTCTCAGACGTAGTCAATAGGGGCGACAAAGTCAAGGTATTATACCATTGAATATAACATTAATATAATTATTGTTATAATGTTAGTCAAAGAGTAACTTTTTCATCTACCAAGAGCAATATCATCTATTGATATTATTATAATAATAAAATCTATTCTTGTACATTTTAAAACATACAGTACATTGTATTTTTTTGTTTCAGATTAAAGTTTTGTCAATGACTGGACAAAAGGTCTCTCTGACTATGAAGGATGTTTGCCAAGAAACTGGAAAAGACCTGAACCCTACATCACATGCCCATTTGGAGGTAAGCATTAGTCAGGGTTTCATAGTCTGGTTTATTGTAATTAGGACTACACATGATTCAATCTCATAGATTCTGTCCCCAAATTATATTCACCAATCAAAAGCCTCAATCTGTGCTTGTGATTGAATCAAGTTTTGAGCTTATTTCTTTAATTATATAACATGCCTTGCATTTATGTCCATAGGAATAGGAATTTTCAAAGTAACACATTTGGGCTCTTTTGATTAGCCTTTATTCTGTTTTATTTTACACTAACGTGACTCACAGCCAGTCCCAACCAGCTCACGTGTGCATCTGGGGGCACGGCATTGCCCCCACCAAGTCGAGCAGAAAAGCGGCACGGCCGTACCATCCTTTTCTCGAAGCAATTCAGGCCATTTTCGACCGCCTGTAACTTCGTTGTGGATAAAACTAGAAGGCTGAATTTTCATTAGCTATGCAGGCATTGTAAAGACACGGTATATTTAAAATTTCATTCAATTTGAACCAGTAGTTTAAGAATTATAACGGGTCAAAGTTACTTAATTTTGTCACTCACTGACTGACTCACTGACTCACTGACTCACTCACTGACTCACCGATCATCAAAACTCTAAGGCACTTCTAGCAGACCTAGAAGCTTCAAATTTGGAATATAAGTAGTGTTTGGTGTATGAATCAAGGAAAAACTAAAATATTTGGGGGCACGGTAGTGCAACCGCCAAGTCGAGTAAAATTTTTCAATTTCGGTCCAGTTTTCTAGATACATAACTGCTGTCTACAAAATACAAAAAGAAATGAGATCCCATCAAAAACAATACTTGTCAAAAAAACCAAGTCTCGCAACTCAGTTGTTCTACGGTAAAAAGTTGTGAGATCCATGTAATACCAAGTCCAGGCCAGGAAATCTTTAACGTTTTACATAAATATATTGACTTGGCCATCGCATGAAAACACGTGTGTGTAAATTAAATTATTTAGTGCGATGGCCAAGTCAATAATTTATGTAAAACGTTAAAGATTTCCTGGCCTGGACTTGGTATTACATGGATCTCACAACTTTTTACCGTAGAACAACTGAGTTGCGAGACTTGGTTTTTTTGACAAGTATTGTTTTTGATGGGATTCCTTTATTTACTAGCTAATGTGTCTCCGGCTCTCAGCTCGCACAAGTCGTGCTGCTGGCAAAAAGCTCACTTACGCGTTGAAAAAACGCTGGAGCCTAAGACTTCTTCTAAATTAGCATTTTTTAATTTAATTTTATACTATGTAGTACGTCGATACTGTCATCAATATTTTCGAAACTTAACACTTGTCTAAAGTGGCAACACTGGGAGTTGTGCAGTTAAACGTTGTTCACCTCTTTTTTTTTCTTGGCTTTTGCGGTTTGCGTTTAGCCACGGGTTTAACCACAACGGTTGTTCTCCTCTTAAATCGTGGAATCGCGGTTTTTGTTGCCATATATCGTAAAAACATAAAATTTATTTATTTTTAAATCAGAGTAGTTTTTTGAAATAGTTTATATTTACATAAATTGGAGATTGATAGCGTGAGTGGCGGTGGAGTTGTTGGTATGGTCATACATTACAGCTGGACGTTAAGAGCTTATCTCGGCCCAGCGCTGGGTAACTGTTGAAACTGTAAGTATTCGAGGCTAAGCGGCATCTCTGGAAGACCCTGGTAAGCCCGATCGCGATAGTTTCACCATTTCATCACGAAAACAATCGCCTTTCTTTCATCAAACACAGTTCACTTCACTATTATTGAGCCTTTTCACTAGTGTCGTTTCAACAAAAAAGATTTACATTTTAATAACACAAATATGTATTAGGGTGGTCCTTATTTTTCGACTTTTGAATTATCCCCGGGGCACTTTCTCATTCGATTATATACCTCTAAATATGAAATTAGCTTTTTTGTTTTTTTTTTGGTTAAGATTTAGAGGTCGCTACCAGCAGTCAAAATATTTACAAAAGCTTTGAAGATCTTAAATCATGGTTTCATAAATGTTTTATTTAAGTGTTTATATCACATTTTACGTGCAAATGAACATCGCATAGATAGAATAGACAATCGCTTCTTGTCCCCATCTCCCCTCAACCCCTCTTCTGTACCGACCATGGTACCGACGCGTCGAGATACTAACAAGTAAACCCTTATATCTTAAAAATAATTGATTCAAATATGTACATTGTACATAATATCTTATTTCATAGCAACAACAATAATTTTGTAATATTTTTATTTGGCTTTGGCTTTAAAAATAAATGAATCTAACAAATGCAGATTTTGTTTTTACTTAAAATTCAAACCTTGGTAGCGACCCCTAAATGTCTTTTAAAAATTAAAAAAAAAATAATGAAAGACTTTCATATGGTATATATTCAAATTACGTGGTGCCCCGCAAAATATAAGAAAAAAATTTTTTTTCGTAGGAATAAGGACCACCCTAATATGTATGTATACTTTACTTACGAAAAGGAGTCCACGGTAAATCAGCTCATCCTCGTCCTTATTAAAACATATCATTTTTATGCAAACTATCTACTTAATTTTTGTATACAGGCAGTTGTGACTACTGATAGATGCCTGCACCTCCACTATCACTGTCACCATCATCTTCAATCATTTTTCTTTTTGTGGTAATGGAATTGGTTAAAATTTTGAGCAGAAAATTTTTCTTTTTTCTTTTCTGGGACTTCATTTCACACTAACCACTTGATGGCTCAGGTAATGCTTATGCGGGTTGTTTTTGGAGATAGTGCAAAGCTTAAGCCTCTTAGATTTACGTTTACGTTATACACATTACAAAGTTGAAATGTGTTTACCTGTGGTACACCTCAGGCACGGATCCATGGGCGTGTGCACAACCTTTTCATATTTTCACAGTCTTTTGAGATTCCCATTAGCCAGGATCTACAGCTAAAACTCCAATAAAAACCCAACCAATGAATTCCAAGTTTGTCCCAGGGGTAAGTTGAACAATCATTGGACCCGCAAAGAAATTAATCAGACGAACATAGGAGGATCCGCGCCTGCAGGGCCTATGTATTACTTTTTTTCTATGCTGCAGGGCTACTACGAAACCCTGTTTAGTTACGTAGTTTCAGGTCTATCTGTCAACGTCGCTCATACTGGCATCTCGCTTTGCGTGAGAGGGATGGCAACATTTGAAACTTCGGATAACGTTTTTCGGAGTAACTCCGCTGGTATACCCTGTGTGTTTCGTATTTATAACATTTGGACATGTCTCTGCAGGCGGAGCGCGAAGGGCGCAACCCGGACCGGCCGGCGCCCGCCGCGACTGTACTGGCGGGGCTGCAGGGCGCGCTCGAGCCCGACGAAGACTCCAGCCGCAAGCGCGTCACCAGGATCTCCAGCCCCGAGCGCTGGGAGATCAAGCAGGTCAGTGCACTACATTACATGGTCATAGAGCATTGGTCCCCAAACATATTTGAGACGCATCCCCTTTCGACCATACAAAAATTCCGCGCCCTTCCTCCAGTCAAGATTTATTGGTCGTATCGAGCAGTCTGGAATGCATTCTCTCAGCGGTCGCAGGTTTTATACATGGCCCGCGCCCCCCTTTAAAGGTCTTTGCGCTTCTCCAGGGGGGCGCGCCCCCCACTTTGGGAACCAATGTCATAGAGTCTTTTACTTCAAGTCCCACAGTTCCTATCAGTTTACTCATAGATGCCAACTTACGAAAAACCCGCGAGAGGATCGCTATTTGCTTACATGATAGCCAACATTTATAAAAGCTTTCGAACTTCAACGACTATTTCTATGGTGAATTAATGTAATTCAAACCATATGCATTCTGATTATTCTTTTACTCTTCCTTAGTAACTTCAAGCAATCTGGATAGTCTTTCGTCTGATCACAGATAGCATTTCAGAAAAAAATATAATTATGTAACTTAATCTTTATCTCCATAGATGATATCATCGGGAGTCATAGACAAGAGCGAGTTGCCAGACTTCGACGAGGAGACCGGCCTCCTCCCAAAAGACGAGGACGGCGAGGCTGACATCGAGATCGAATTAGTTGAGGACGAGCCACCCTTCTTGCAAGGCCACGGTCGCGCTCTACACGAATTATCCCCTGTCAGGATCGTAAAGAACCCTGATGGGTCCCTAGCGCAAGCGGCCATGATGCAGTCGGCGTTGGCGAAAGAGAGAAGAGAGCAGAAGATGATTCAGAGGGAGCAAGAGATGGAGAGTCTGCCGACTGGGTTGAATAAGAACTGGATCGATCCGCTTCCCGAAGCTGATGGCAGGGCGTTAGCGGCCAATATGAGAGGGACTGGAATCACGCCTCAAGACTTGCCCGAATGGAAGAAGCACGTGATTGGTGGTAAAAAGTCGTCTTTTGGCAAGAAGACGAATCTCTCGCTGTTGGAGCAGAGGCAGTCGCTGCCTATTTACAAGCTAAGGGATGAACTCACAAAGGTAAATTGATTTGCATAAATAATATTCTACATTGAATCTCTGATATGTTCCGCAATTTAGCTAAATCTATATCTATAAAAGCGAAAGGTCACTGACTGATTGACTGACTGACTCATTCACTCATTACTAAATCTCAGAAACTACAAGTGCTAGGAGTCAGAATTGCATGGGGGTTCCTTTTAAAACGTAGGTGCTCACTAAGATGGGATTTTGCAAAATTCAACCCCTAAGGGGATAAAACGGGGGTTGGAAGTTTATATGAAAGTGCTATGTTTTCACGCGTAGAAGTCGCGGGCGACCGCTATTTGCTATAGCGTGGATTCGACCAAACAAGGGTAAATATTTATCTCAGAATAAATCATCAGTTTTGACATATTTCCCATACTGAAACTGTCAATGTGCCAGTTATACCAGGAGTTATTCTCGGATAAAAATTTGGTCGAATCGGGTCTTATACGATAGATACGCGAACCCCTGAACTAAACAAACTATTTATTATCAGGCCGTAGCAGACAACCAGATCCTGATCGTCATCGGCGAGACGGGCTCGGGAAAGACAACTCAAATCACGCAGTACCTCGCCGAGTGCGGGCTCACAGCGCGCGGGAAGGTGGCGTGCACACAGCCTCGCCGTGTGGCCGCCATGTCGGTTGCCAAGCGCGTGGCCGAAGAGTTCGGCTGCCGGCTCGGCCAGGAGGTCGGCTACACCATCCGCTTCGAGGACTGCACCAGCCCCGAGACTGTCATCAAGTGAGTGCTCAGCAGGAACAGGAGTGGCCGCCATGTGTTGCCAAGCGCGTTGCCGAAGAGTTCGGCTGCCTCGGCCAGGAGGTCGGCTACACCATCCGCTTCGAGGACTGCACCAGCCCCGAGACTGTCATCAAGTGAGTTCGTTCGTTCGTTCGTTTCAGCCAAATGACGTCCACTGCTGGACAAAGGCCTCCCCCAAGGTTTTCCACAATGAACGGTCCTGCGCTGCCCGCATCCAGTGAGTAATTAGTTGAAATAGGAATACTGAGCAAAATTACAAATTTTTGACACCATTCATAGCAACTTACTATTAGAGGTCGGTCGATCTATTCTCATAAATAAAACACTGGATACTCATCTTGTACATTATATTGCCTTAATTTAGATACAATTCATCACTTAGCACAAAAGCGCGCGGAGTCGTCTCCGCGCGTCCCTCTATTCTGACATTTGATTCTCGTGTGTCATTGACATAACGTCAATGTCACTATGACAGCAGCTCATTGGCTATAACGATACCGCTATTTTAACGTTTTATATTTTTCACAATTAACATTACATTCATTAATTTCACTTTTGTAGATCCCTTTTTTGACCCGGTCACAATGCCTGATCCTTAAGATCGTCAGTTCATCGAGTAACGACTTTTTATACTGTTTCATTAAATATGGGCTGATAAACTGTCAGTCCACTGCCATAAATCCAAACATCGACGTTACTATAGGTCGCAGTGTGACGTATAAGACAGAATGGGCCAGCTTTACTATCACATACGGCGCTGGCCTCCACATATCATTGGTAGGACGCACGCTGGTCAAAATCCTCTTGACGTTCTGGCATCTGCATGAACATTTGTTATTGTTTCATGGTAGTGGTCGCCTTACTTACTTTCATAGCTCAGCGACCCAAAACGTGTCTTGGCCTCCGATAGGAAACGCCGTTTGCGCTGGTCACACTGATCATAAAAGAGAAAAAGCTGGCCACCTTTATCATAAGCAAAATAGTAATAATGATGACTGGGTAATTAATTCGAAATTCTATTTAGTCCGTCAGACAGATAATTAGAAAATATTAGACTCATATTTTTTATTTTTTTCCATAATCCAATAATTACAGTATTATATTGAGTTGAAATGTCGCGTGACGTAACTTTTGAGTAAAAATTCTACTCAAGCGTGACGTATCGCGCCATTTCAACTGTTATTATTTAATTACTAGCGGCCGCCCGCGACTTCGTACGCGTGGATCCCGTTTTACCCCCTTCATCTATCTTACGCGGTTTAGATTTTTTCATACCAATGTTTTTACCCGCTAACTCCCGTTCCCGTGGGAATTTTGCAATATCCTGTTGTAACTAAGCTTTGAGTTTACTAAGGTACCTGCATGCCAAATTTCAAGCGTCTAACTTAAGCAGTTTAGATTTTTCATACAAAAGGATTTTCCCGCTAATTCCCGTGCCCGTGGGAATTCCTANTAAGGTACCTGCATGCCAAATTTCAAGCGTCTAACTTAAGCAGTTTAGATTTTTCATACAAAAGGATTTTCCCGCTAATTCCCGTGCCCGTGGGAATTCCTAAGTATCCTATAACCTGCCCAGGAGTATGAAGAATAATTGTACCAAGTTTCGTTAAAATCCGTCAAGTAGTTTTTGTTTCTATAAGGAACATACAGACAGACAAAAATTTTACTGATTGCATTTTTGGCATCAGTATCGATCACTAATCACCCCCTGATAGTTATTTTGAAAATATATTTCATGTACAGAATTGACCTCTCTACAGATTTATTTTAAGTATAGATGAAAGAAAATAAAAAATATGAGTCTAATATTTTCGAAATATCTGTCTGACGGACAAATAATTGAAATTTTGTCATCTAGCCTATTCCTTATCTCTCCAGGTACATGACAGACGGTATGTTGCTCCGCGAGTGCCTGGTGGACCTGGAGCTCCGCGCCTACAGCGTGATCATGTTGGACGAGGCTCACGAGCGCACCATCCACACCGACGTGCTGTTCGGCCTGCTCAAGACGGCCGTGCGTTCGCGTCCCGAGCTCAAGCTGATCGTCACCTCCGCCACATTAGACGCCGTCAAATTCTCGCAGTACTTCTTCGAAGCACCCATATTCACCATCCCAGGACGAACATTCCCTGTTGAGGTCTTGTATACTAAGGAACCAGAAACGGATTATCTTGATGCATCACTCATCACTGTCATGCAAATACATCTGCGCGAACCGCCAGGGGATATCCTGCTCTTTTTAACTGGACAAGAAGAAATTGATACGGCTTGCGAGATCCTATACGAAAGAATGAAGTCGTTAGGTCCTGATGTACCTGAACTGATCATTCTCCCAGTATATTCCGCGCTGCCGTCGGAAATGCAAACGCGTATTTTCGAACCCGCGCCGCCTGGTTCCAGAAAGGTGGTCATTGCGACGAATATCGCTGAAACATCGCTGACGATTGATGGAATTTATTACGTGGTGGACCCGGGATTTGTGAAGCAGAAGGTGTACAATTCGAAGACTGGAATGGACTCGCTGGTTGTTACTCCGATTTCGCAGGTATGATTATTTTCGCAGTTAATTTTTTCTAATATGTACCTACTTTTATAATGTGGATTTTAATGATAAGATGATAATATTTGCAGATTAATCAAAAACGAAATTAATTTTGAGTAATGGTATCTCATTATTATGTAATGTTCGAAACTCAAGTCGTCTTCAATTACACGACGCCTATAATTGGTGTCAGAAAGATACTGTCATGGGACATGATCATTTAATTTGCTTTCTATTTTAAAATCCGAACCGTTTTCAATAACACGGCGCTCAGCTAACATATCATTGCGTACTTTCAATCTGTTTACTTGAAAATTAAATATTCATTTGATTTAATGACCAACATTTTGAGCCAATCTCAGTACAATCTGGTCGAGTTAACTGCACACCTGCACACTGCGTCACATCGACGTTCTGGTACGAACGGGGTGAACGCGTGGAAGTGTGCGGAGGGAGGGAGAGTCGCATACCAGCGAGGTGCGCTGTTAAATCGATCGGGTTGTAATAATTAAAGCGATCACCGTAACTGAAGGTTTGTTTTTCCTTCCCAGGCAGCGGCGAAGCAGCGAGCGGGACGCGCGGGTCGCACGGGCCCGGGCAAGTGCTACCGTCTGTACACCGAGCGCGCCTACCGCGACGAGATGCTGCCCACGCCCGTGCCCGAGATACAGCGCACCAACCTCGCCACCACCGTGCGTATAACACGTCTATAGTCTGGTCCGTGAGCACGTAGAATTTTGTCCGATGACCCCAAGCTACCCATCCTTATCGCTCGCGCGTAACTATGTTGCTGTCGCGCTCGCACACTCACTGCGGGCGCGCGTCGCACAGTCGCGACAGCAATATAATTACGCGCGAGCGATAAGGATGGATAGCTTGGGGTCATTGGACAAAATTCTACGTGCTCACGGACCAGGCTTTACTTTCCACTAAAGCGGAGCGAAGATTAGACGAGAGGAAAGATATGAGCTGTGTCTATAGTCTGGTCGCTGAGCACGTAGAATTTTGTCCAATAACCGCAAGCTACCCATCCTTATCTCTCGCGCGTAATTATATTGCTGTCGCGACTGTGCGACTGGCGCCCGCAGTGAGTGTGCGAGCGCGACAGCAACATAATTACGCGCGAGCGATAAGGATGAGTAGCTTGGGGTCATTGGACAAAATTCTACGTGCTCACGGACCAGGCTTTAGTAGATCTATTACAGTGTCACAAAGTCAGCGACGAGCGCGACGTGACGCTGTGTCCCAACGCGAAATGATGATATGTCGCATGCTGACACAAAGGCCACAAGCAAGGACCGCGCTAGACAAAATTCTACATGCTCACGGACCAGGCTTTACAATTAATATTTTGTAGCCAAAAGCATTTAATAAAATCCATTACTTGAACAGGTGCTCCAACTGAAGACCATGGGCATCAACGACCTGCTGCACTTCGACTTCATGGACGCGCCGCCGGTGGAGTCGCTCATCATGGCGCTGGAGCAGCTGCACTCGCTGTCCGCGCTCGACTCCGAGGGGCTGCTCACCAGGCTCGGCCGCCGGGTGAGTGTTAGGCCTCAGGTAGACTGCACTAGCCTGAGACTGCAGAATCCTAGATACGCCAATGCCGCGGGCACTCGAGTCTTGGCGTCTGCGTATTCACAGTGCTGAACGAGCTACGAGATTGCACCTTATCAGACGGCACGACACGGACGGACCGAGCCATTAGAAACTCCCGCGCTCGCGCCCCATGTCACGATCGCGAACGTCGGTCTGCGACCGACGCGGACGAGCCTGGGCTTCGCTACGCGAAGCCCACACTCGGTCTCGTCGGCACGCGCACCGACGATCGCCAAACGGCTAGAGTACCTTCTGTACTCGCCACTCTGCCCGGTGAAGCTGGAAAAGCTCCTCAAGCTACCAGCGCGCGTCCCTTCAAAAAAAAAAAAAACCCATGTCACGTCACATGATGACGCGTGACGTGCAGGAGCATTGTGAACGCAACTCGCGTCTTTAAACATTTTGGTTAACACGCGCCCGCCTCTACTCTGAATGGGGTCGCATTTCCACTTCGACGCGCCGCCGGTATAGTCGCACATCACAGCGCCCTTTAAGCAGGACTTAAATAAGACTACGGTCTCCTATTATAGTCATCGTACGCCATCAACATCAAACATTTCTATCAACGTCATACGCCGACATCAACGTTTGAAAGAGGCCACAACCGGTACATTTCTATAGTAAGCATTACGACGCGGCCGCACACGACGCTGTACGCAGACGGCGTTTATAGGAGACCACAGCCTAATGCACAGCAAAAATAACTTGAGCACATGTTTCCAGATGGCCGAGTTCCCCCTGGAGCCGAATCTGTCCAAGATCCTGATCATGTCGGTGGCGCTGCAGTGCTCCGACGAGATCCTCACCATCGTGTCCATGCTCAGCGTGCAGAACGTCTTCTACCGCCCCAAGGACAAGCAGGCGCTCGCTGACCAGAAGAAGGTAACACACAGCTTCAGTCTTCTTAATGGATGTTGACATGTTTTTGAGGTGAACTGGCGTCCCTAAATCGAATGTTTCTGTGTGGATGAGATATTTGTATCTAAACAGGTTACTAAAAGTTCAGTGGTCGCACGTCGACGCGTCGACCGGTTTGGATGCGCATTTTCGATTCCAAGTTAAAATCGTCCTCTATTTTCACTACTTAGTACTTTTTCGCGCCACAAGTAGCGCGGATTAACGGCACTTGTCTATAGGAGGAACTCAATACGCGCGCATCAAGACACGGATAGTGTCTTGATGCGCGCGTATTGAGTTCCGTGCGCGTATCAGGGGGCGTAGTGTGAATTTACGTCAAACGCATTCTAAGTCAACTGCGTAAAAAAGTGACATTAAGGCTGCGTTTCCACCAGAGATGAGCGAGGATGTGTAGCGAGGGATGTGTTTGAAAAGAACCAATAGAATCGCTTCATTTACCGAGGCGAAGTAAATGAAACGCACACACGCGCAAATCCTCACACATTTCTGGTGGAAACGCAATCTAAATGTATGACGGATTGTACAGTGCCCCTAGCGGAAACTTTCAAGAACTAAAACCTTTAATTATTTTTTACGCGCTCACTAGTGACGACGTTTGATATAAACTCACACGAAGCCCTCTTGTAGGCCAGATAGGTAGGACGGTAGGCGATGCGGCGTCTTGCAATGCGAGAGCGAGACTGAAGGTGGAAGGGAGAGGATAGGGAAAGGACTGTCAGAGTGAGTGATAGAGAATAGTGTGACATGAGTTTGAATTGTTTGAGGTTTTAATACTGGCGCATACAGTAATGACTATCGTTTTAGCGCTCACCAGTTGGCGCCACTGTAGAGTAAGGTCCTGTCACTTGCTAGTAGCGAAGACAATGGCGCGCTAAAGTGGTAGGAGGACTATCGCATTTGCACTCATCAAGATGGCGCCACTGTAGGGTAAGGTCCTGTCAATCGCCAGGGGTGCCAACTGTTAAGTATAAAAACGATAGCCCTCATTTAGACCGCGTAGTTGCTTAGTAAACTTGTGTGTTTTGTTTTATCGTAATTGCTAATCGTCCGTGGTGTCCGCAGGCGAAGTTCAACCAGCCCGAGGGCGACCACCTGACGCTGCTGGCGGTGTACAACAGCTGGCGCAACAACAAGTTCTCCAACGCCTGGTGCTACGAGAACTTCGTGCAGATACGCACGCTCAAGCGCGCGCAGGACGTGCGCAAGCAGCTGCTCGGCATCATGGACAGGTAGGCTGAATTACTCGTACCAGGCCTGTCCATCTCCGCGAGTTTACATCGAAAACAAAACACGCACGATGGCCCACCTACAGGATACTATTCGACAAGGCCTCACATACGAGCGAACGTTGACTCACGCACGCGTATTCTTGTGTATGATGGAAGAAAATAAAGAAAATGGTGTACTAAATACTGTGGAGTATTTAACTGCCTAAATAATAATAAAAACACAGAATGTACTTTTTTAAGTTGCCTNTTTGTTTCAAAAACTTACATATTTTTATAATGGCAAAGAAAAAAAAAGAGTTTGTTTACTTAAAGAAAAATACTAATTGTTTTTGTCCATAAAACATTCCCCTGGGTGGTTGCAACAGTCCCCTGTCGCAGTTTTGCGAAAAATCGCCAATAACTCAAAAACTAAGGGGAAAATGTGTGGGCTTTTTTAGATATGTATTTAAATTACTATTGCCCTGAATTTCATTAGCAAAATTTCTCAATAATTAATAAAATTACTTCAGGACAGTCTTGTATGGACGATTTTCCAAATAGCAGAGAAACACCCATATGTCAAAATGACATGGTTATTCTTCAGTTGAAAGATATTGAAGATTGAAAAATCAGCCCCTAATAGGCTTTCCATAATGCTTTTGGTTTGGCGGATTCCAATTTAAAACTTGTGGTGTTCTTTAGTCTTAGTATACAACCTACTAAAACAAAAGAAGACTGCAACAAACATTGCTTTCAGCTGAAATGAGCAAGCTGTTCTGTTTGATATACGTCTGTGGAACGTAAAATGAATGTGGTGATTGGAGCCCACATATATCTGTTTGCGAACTCTCTTACGACGCGAGTATGTGACGGCTCGATTGTCGACGTCATTCGATTCTATTGTCGTTTTAAATCACTTTCGAGCGATGAGTTTTGAATTGGACGCTCGCGACGAATAAAGGTGTACGTAAAATCCGTTTTATTTTTGCCCGCTTGATGAAGGTTGTGTTTATTCTAACCACATTTTATTACGCATGTTAAGTTAAAAATATGATAAAAACAGCTTGTTTAAAGGGAAAATCTAAAAACATTTTCAAACATATGAATATCGAAATACAGGAATGTTTGGTTTGTCTGTGTTCAAATTCAAGTTTGTTAGCTAATACTTGCCGATATTTCAGCGGTCGCTTTTCTTGCTAACATGTGTTTTTTTTTGTGAACTCCTGTTGTGGATTTTATCCGTTTATTTTAGCTAGCTGCAATTTAATTTTTAACCTACCTATGTGTAATTATATTTGTTATGAACGTGAGCCCATAAACATAAATAATCTGTTAGAAGCATCATTGCAATATTTTTTCAACTGAAAAGTTGTCCTTTACGTCTTTCTGCGGTGGGCCCGTCGTATTGTGTTTTTAACGAATACCGATCGCTTTTTGTTTGTTTTCATCTAATCAATCAAGTAGAATTTGAATTTCAACGCGTTGTTTTTTGACACGATGCAACATCGCGACACCTATTACTTGTATACTTACGCCCGTATTCACAAACGATACTTGCTTAAGTGAAGCAGCAAATCGAACGCACAGCGTTGAATAGAGCTCTCTGATTGGTTCATGTGTCATCCTGTGCGTCTACGCGCACTGTGATACCTCGTAGTAATGTTTGCGAATACGGGCGTTAGTTCACATGATAGAAAAATGGCGCTAGAGCACACACCAATTTCTTTCTACTCTATCGAGGACATTCTTCGCACTTCTACGCTTTTGAGTTGTTAATGGATGGCTCAATAGAGCTTTCGTTCAGTTTTAGAAGTCTCGGGACACATTCCTGTTACAAAAAGGCCCTGGGAAAAATTCAAGATTCAAATTCAAATCTTAAGTCTCTTATGTTCGTCTCTCTAAATATTCCTAAGTTGACACCTATCGCCGCTTGAATGGCATCCTATAGGGAGTTCGCTTGCAAAAACGTAAGGACTTAAGGCCATCTGCTATTAGTTATCCTGTTCGCAAGCGAGCGTCCCTGAATAGTCCCGTCACCTGGAGATTGATGGTCACGCTAATGTGCTCACACCTTTATGAAAATGAATGGAAATTTTGGCACACGTTGAAATAGACTTTGTGGAAACGATTTATGGTGTATTTTGGAAAGTTTGATGCGGTAGATTATAGACACTTTGGTAATTCGCGCCTATATTTAGTTACATTCATCGCGCACATTTTGAATTAATTTAATATCTATTTACGCCAAAATATTATGCTGATAATTTTTGCATTATGGCTAATAGTATGTGTCAAAATGGTATTTTTTTTATTTAAATTGCCGAAACATTAATGTTTTCAAAAGTTATAGAAACTATTTTTTAATAGGATTAAAATAAAGAAACAAACGATTCCAAATCGCAAATTCAGTTTTCAAAACAAAAGCCTAACGTCGAAAGTTGTTTACTTCAATTTCTTTTTCTGCTTATGTTTCTTTTACGCCAGTATGACTTAACAACATTGTTAATAGATTTATACAGACTCGTCTGAAAAATACACTCTTGAATCTTTAAATTACTCGTAATTTGTATTAAATAAATAACAGGGTTAAATTATTTAGTGTAGCTTCATATTTGGAGTCTTTTCATAGGGCCTTTGAACTCTACCATTATTATTTTAAGCAATTTTCTTAATGTGCGGTGAAATTACGTGGACTACATTTGAATATACTAAAACAGAATTTCATATTACAGTTAATTTTCTGAAGGAAATTTCAAAAACTGTTTTCTCCCGAGAGGAAAAACGGGAAAAACACAATATTGACGGAATTTTGGAATCTGAATGTCTGCCAAACTCATTTCATAGACAAATGAGCCTTCATTCAGCCAGGTGGTTCACCCCGAGTAATTTTTCGACAATTTATTCGGCGGTCGTTAGCGGGTAATCCCCGTTTATCCTCGGCAGGTTAGAAGATGATCAAATAAGTCAGCTAGCACAGGTATTTTGAATGCTCTTTAAGCGTACTTTATTTGCAGGCGACAACGAACGAACAAACGATGCTTGCAGCAGCAAATCGAACGCACAGCGTTGAATAGAGCTCTGTGATTGGTTCGTGTTCACACACGTGTGCTTCTGCCCTGTGCGTCCACGCGCACTGTGAGACCTCATAGTAATGTTTGTGAATACGGGCGTAAGATAGAAATAGGTATTCTAATTATGTTGGAAGAAAAATGTGACTTACGCGACGTGTTTATTAGTTGTTATCAACTCTATCATTCTAAAGATAATTTTTAAATCTTATCCAAACAAAAAACAGACTTTTCCATACAGAAATCACCATCAGACTACTCATTTTTGTTGCAAACTCGCTGCTATTTCAACTACTTAAGATCTAAAAGTGTTCTGCATAAAGCACCGTTGTCTTTACAAGATTTTTTTGCTGTCGAATTACTGCTTTATTTGCACTCTGATAAAGATGAGTTTGACTTTACAAAAGCTGTAAAGTCGCCGAGTCAGCGTTAGTTGGCCTGTCTGCGGTTCAAAGATAATGAGGACGTTAAAACTAAAATAAAGTAAGTATTCGTATTATTTGCAAAATGGTAAATGTAGGGATAGTTATAAAACATTATTAGGGCTTGTTCCCACGGAGACATCCCGTTTTTTGCAGGATCCAGTTTATTCGTTCGTTTCAGCTAAATGACGTCCACTGCTGGACAAAGGCTTCCACCAAGGACTTCCATAACAAATGGTCCTTCGCTGCTCGCATCCAGGTTGTTGGCGCTTCGCGGGTCCTCGGGCTTCATCGACATCGATCGGCCATCATCGGCTCCGCGCGAGGCGCCGGCACACTACGCCGTACGTGCCCGACGCACGGTGGTCTGAAAATTAAGCTCCCATACCATAGAAACTTAATGTCAGAAATTAATAAAGAAAAATATGCATTGTGTTTAGTATACCTCCCTTTGTTTTACTAATACAGTATGAAGGGTATGAGTAGCTCCATGTGTGAGAAAAAAAATATTTTAATTTTTTTTGTATGGAAAAAAACACTTAAACTGGATTTTTTTTAAACTGAATAGAACTGAAGGGCTGGTACTCACATGAGCTATTGCACCATACACGGCGATCAAGATGACATACAATTCTTGTGCCTTTGGGTGCCGCTTTGCATGTACCAAGCTTTGGAAATTTTGAATTTTCGGTAGGTGATTTTTCAAGTCTTTGATGTTATTTTATGAAGTTATTAACCGCTTTCAATACGAGAATAGTATGTAAATTAATACTCATATAGNTTTAAGTTGCCTCATGACACTGAGAGGTAAATAAGTAGTTAATATTATTCATGATAATTCATGCTAAATCATGTATTTCCTTCGCCATTTTCCGCAGTTTGGCACCTCACGTCACATCATTTTACCGAAGTCAGCCCTATAGCTTCGGCGCAGTGCCGATCACTGACGTTTGTCAACAAAATGGTGCTTGACTCTTGAGACAGGCTAAATTACACCATATTGTTAATGACATTGAGCATACATTTTTTTAAATACCTTCACGAAGTAAAACTTCTGTACGTAGTACTTATTATTATTCTGTGCTCGTACGTCGGACTTCTTGGCGGGAATCTGAAGCGTCATGTTAACGGTTTTGTTTTATTTCCTCAAATTCGTGTTTTGGCGACTATTAATTCGTGTAATTTAAGTGTTCGTGAACGTGCATGAGTGTGGGCGAGTGAAGCAAAACAGTGCATCGTGATTCTTCTGGTTCTCTCAAGTTGTCCATAGGAGGTCTCAGTAAAGCACCACAACTTTACTGAGACTCAAAGGGTGGGAAGGGGTATCATCTATCATACTTCATTATATTATCATTACTTGATCTCATTTTGTAACTCGTATCACATAAATACTTGAAAATGGCACAAATCAAGTCGACCTCGACGTGTATTGCCAACATCATCAAAAAAGAAGAAGAAGTACTCGTACGTCACTGTTGTTACTTCGCCAAGTAGGAATAGGACATAACTTACAAGTGTGCTTTACATGCTGAATTTAGAATAAAATACTTTTGCAACCAAAAGTATGATGGGTATTATGCCCACAATCTTAGTTAACTTGTTGTGACGTCAAATTTTCATGAACAATTATGATTGACAGGCTGATGACGTTCTACCCAATGCCTTATTTAAATAAAAAAAAATACAAGTGATGCATTGCACTGTGGTCGATTTTCTTGTGTACTGTGATGTGCCCATAACCTTTTTCGAGAGCTGGATCCATCCGCCTGATCCAAGAGCCTTTTGAAACTATTTATATCAGGTCCACATTCAAGTCCGTTAGTCTGAAACTTGTATAAGGCGTTTTGCGGTCGTAGTAAATAGTCCATCTCGTAAAATTCTAATGTAAACATACCTCCTTTCTTATGTCTCCTTTGAACACCAGTTAAAAATATTACCTCTTTCCACAGACACAAACTAGACGTAGTGTCGGCGGGCAAGAACACTGTGCGCATCCAGAAGACGATCTGCTCGGGTTTCTTCCGGAACGCGGCCAAGAAGGACCCACAGGAAGGCTACCGCACGCTGGTCGACAGCCAGGTCGTCTACATACACCCCTCCAGCGCGCTGTTCAACAGGCAGCCTGAGTGGTAAGTGGCAGATAAAGTTGGCAATAGAAGCAGACATTCTATAGCTTTAAATGTCGGCTTAAGTGCTTGTTCACGTAGGTACGCGCGGGCGAGGGCGCGGGAAACGTTGCGAGCTCGTGTTCACATTAACCACCAGGCGTTCGCGCGAGTGTGACGTACTATCGTTTCTAGCGACAAGTTCAAACTGGTTGAACTTACCTGACGTCGCGAGTGAAACGCGCGCGCCGCCGCTAGTTTGACATGAACACACACAAACGTCTTCACGCGTTGAAATTACCGCGAGCGCTCCGCGCGCACCAGTCGCTAGCTTGCCCGCTAGTTAGACCGCACCTGCGTTTCGTACGTGAACACTTGGAATCACTACATATGTTTGATATTTCGTCATCGCGCCCGCCACCGCGCCCGCGAGTCAACGTGCACAAGCACTAATGCTTCAACCACACCAACGCATGCAAATCGCCGGCCCGATCACGGCGCGACCATAGACCAATAATGGATTGTCATGGATCGCGCGACCTGTCATTGGCCTATGATCGCGCCGGCGATCTGGACGCGTTGGTGTGGTTGAACTTGAAGCGTAACTTATCCATGACTGAATCCTCATAATTAAGGTGTTCTTAACTACGCTCACCAGTTAGCGCCACTGGCAAGTGAGGTCCTTGCTTTTGGCTAAGACAGTGGCGCCAATCGGTGAGCGCTGAAGCGGTAGGAGGACTAGCGCATTTGCAATCACCAGGTTGGCGGCACTGTCGAGTATAATCCTATATCCCCAGTGACGTCGACTGGCTAAATGTAAACCTTCCAAAAGACAAGGTTTTTTTTTATTTAAAGCCTGGTCCGTGAGCACGTAGAATCCTGTCCAATGACCCCAAGCTGCCCATCCTTGTCGCTCGCACGTAATTATGTTGCTGTCGCGCTCGCACACTCACTGCGGGCGCGCGTCACACAGTCGCGACAGCAATATAATTACGCGCGAGCGATAAGGATGGGTAGCTTGGGGTCATTGGACGGGATTCTACGTGCTCACGGACCAGGTTTTAGAAACTACAATCTGTAGACAGGTCCGCACTTTTTTCAGTTTTTTTTAAGTAACATTTCGCTCCTTAGGTAGTTATTAATTATAAAGACAAGGTTTCTAACTCTTCATTTTATTGCAGGGTAATCTACCACGAACTGGTGCAAACCACCAAGGAGTACATGCGTGAGGTGACCACCATCGACCCCAAGTGGCTGGTGGAGTTCGCGCCCGCCTTCTTCAAGTTCTCGGACCCCACCAAGCTGTCCAAGTTCAAGAAGAACCAGCGCCTGGAGCCGCTCTACAACAAGTACGAGGAGCCCAACGCCTGGAGGATATCGCGCGTCCGCAGGAGAAGGAATTAGGAACGGACGCAAATAAATGTTTCTACCAAATAGTATATTTTGTTTCGTTTCTGTTTATCCTACCTGTGTATTGTACAATGCTCCTACGATTACAGAAATCGAAAAAACGACAAGTACCAAGTGTATGTACGAGTCTTTATTTGCAAGCCTCTAGCACTGTGTGTGGGGTGTCATACCGATAAGATTGGTCAGCTGCTGGTTTGGCTCATGGTGGAATCACGATGGAATGTTCCTACCTGTGATCCTATCACAATGTTTGAGATAATTACCAAGTAAGGGCAGGACCGGTCCACGGTAATATTATCATATTATTACCGTGACCGGTCTTTGTGGAAATCCTTGGTGGACGTCTTTCGGCTGAGCTGAAGGGCTGTAGCACTATACCTCCTCCATCCAATTTCCTCAAAGAAAATTAATTAAAACGCATTTTAATACTTCATTGCTCCTGATGGTATGGTATAACAGAACGCATTGTCATTAATGTCAAATTTGAACTCGATTGGATTTTTGACAGATCGCAATTTTTTGGTGCAAATTACACAATTTTTGTGTGGAATAATTGGAAATAATGTCCTAAAACTAGTTGGCTGGATTATTTATAAACAGCAAGAAATGAACTGTAAAATTTGCTGTTAATAAATTGATTGACTTGAAGGAAAATGGATTTCTTTTCGGAGATAATCGGGGAGACCGTGATACTGGGAATAGATTCCCTCATACTTGGTTTCTGCGTGAGACAGCTGAGCAAATGTAAACACATACTAAACGCGCTACAAGTAAGCTACTCATTTTTAAAGCAATATGTTTCAATACTTTTGTCGAGTTCGAAAAAACACGTTTTCTATAATGCTAATTTATTTTTCTAATTAGACAGCTCCTGTACTGGATATAGACAACACCCTAAACAAGGAAATAAATAAATACCCCAACAATACAATCCCTTATGTAGTGATCAGAGGGCTTGTCAAGCCTCTGGGCACTCCTATCACCAGCAACTACAACAATAATGTTACTGGAGTGGTGCAAAGGTAAGCTGATATTTTATTGAATAACTTTTATTTAATAAGTACTCTTACAGCCATTCAACTAAAAATTATTGAAGTATGTAGGGTCATTTCGCCTGTTCGCGTCCATTTAGTGCAGTTGGCAAGTTTGACGGCGATAATAAAAATGCCCCAGCACTCATTTCTATGACAAATTTGTGTAATGTATTCATTATATATTCTATTTTAAGATTAACATTCAGTTGTATTAGAAACATCTTGCTTTTTCTTTTAAAATAGATAAACTTCAGAATTAGGCGTTATACCCAGTTTGCGTCCACAAAATCCAAATTGCGTCCACCCGTGGACCATTTAGCGTCCAGCAGCTTAGAAAAGGAATATAGGGATGATATTTTTAAGAATTAATAAAGAAAGATTGTATTTGAACAATTTCTTTATTTAACAATAAACTTAATTATTAAAAATCAACATTATCATCATTTAAAACTCACTTTAAAAAATAAAAATAATTCTTCTCAACATTGGTTTAAGTAAAAAATTCTTTATTTCTGGCCAAACATTTTTCAAACAATTTTTGACCTGGACGATCATCTTTGAAATTATTTTTAAACTCTCCGTCTCGAATTATTTTTTGAACAGTATCCAACAATTCTTGCTTTTTACTACAAATCCACATTTAGAAATGTTATGAAGCCATTCAACTACTTTTGTATTATTGTTCCATTTTCTTCCCTAAACTTTGAATTTTTGACGAATTTCAATATCTAATTACTACATGACGTGACATATTATTGGAAAGAAGAGAAGCTAGAGATGTTTTTAAGATCATTGGCAATCCACTATCACCTTTAATTTTTTTT